AAAAAAAATCAGCGTTCAATTTGCCGTAAACAGCCGTGCGCCCTGATTCACAGATGACATTACGGAAAGACCTTAACTATTCAGAAATAAACATCAAAAGGCTTGTCTGCAATGCGGAGCAACGTTTCACGTAGTTAAATTCGACTCAATATTCAGTCGATAATTTGCTGAACTTGGGTACCCTTCGATTCGCCGTTCAACCAGCAAGAAACTAGAGAATCCCATAACTACAACTCAGTCGAAAGATTAGATTCCGTTGACTCTACCTAGCATGATGCATGCACATTTTCGAATCAAAGTTGACAAAAAACATACGGGTCATACTTGGAAATGAATAACAAGGTTTTCGCTGCTCGAAGGAACAGCCAATCCAGATTCAATGCCTGTCGACTGCATAGTCATGGAGTTCTGCAAAAATCGTTTTCTCATTCACGCAACTAACATTTCCTTTAACAAACCTGGAACGCAGCACGTTCCGGTGAAAGCACTGATTGGCTGAATGGAAACTGCTTAGCATATTCAGGCCTCTTCTCTTCCAAGTCGCGCTCCAAATCAACAATTCGCTCTTTCAAGGTAGCAATTTCACTAAAATCAAGCACTTCATCTGATTATGCAAACTTGTGCATGTACGAACGTGTCTTTTTCTTCTAGCTGCTTCTTTGTCGCTTCAGAGAATAAAGTTGCAGTTTCGATTCTGGCACCGAGGGCAAACATTTTGCTATCAGCGCTGTTATGCCGAGACTGAAGCACCTGGAAAGAGAAAAATTGGTAATAAAACCCATGGTTTATTAACTTATCATACACATTTAATTATGGAAGAAATGAATTAATTTAAGCAGTTTAAAAGACAAAATTTTCTCGTATATGGGATACCACATACGGAATTTATTAGCTTAGATAAGATAAACATACTTGAGTTAAAAAAAATATTTGTTTCGACGCAGTAGCTCATTAAAAAACACCTTCGGACTAAGTAAACGTCAGGCATCAGCGTAAATAATACAAAGTGCCTCCAAAGAGTCTACAGAACATTTTTATTTGAAATTAATTTGGCGATGTTAAATCATGAACTTGGATAGTGGGTTAACAAGGATGTTCAGATAGGGTTGAAGGAACCTTACCTTTCGTTATTCATTGTCTGAGCCCAGTCGGAATGAAATCAACAAAAGAATTAGCTCGCCCATGTGTTTTGCTCATGAAAAAGATGCCTTAAAATATTAAACAGTACAGGCAACATAGGCCTAGAATCGATTACCTTTAAAAGCACCTTAGATGGACTTGGTTCTGAAACTTATCGACTTGAGGAGAGACTTATAATTAAATCGAAAGAGCAAGAATTTGCCTTCAGAGACATTTGCTACTTTAGAAAAATCATATCAGATATTTTTTGAATCAAGTTCATGGCTAATATCATTAAAGGCAAAAAATGGGAAAGTACAGCAAATTTTTGTCAAATAGTTGCTGTCTTAACAAATTGCTATTCCATCTAACACAGATGAAATTTTGTATCTATGCACTGCAGCTGTAACGAACTTAAAAATCTCACATAATGATCGATTCGAAGAGATGAAGCGAATATGCCGTGTAAATTCGTAAAAGTGACAAGCGGCTTCGGAAAGCTTCATGGCCTTTATGTGGATGATGTTCGTATCGTGCGAGATATTCTTCTTCCTGCATTCGCTGATCAACAGCGCCAATGTAGACTCCTTCCTCACAAAGGTCTTATTGCAGAAAATTACCACCCTCTTCGCTGTCTTGTTCAAAGACACTGCTGCCGTCTCACTTATATTCTTTTTGTCGTTTTTTACGTAGCGAACTGAAGATTCATCGATTCCGTAACGGCGGCCTATAGCTGCGTAGCTTTTCCCTTCATTTAGCATGTCGAGGAGATCCACCTTTTCTGCGACGGTAAGCATCTTCCTCTGGTGCTTGAGTTTGGTGTCAGAACCCTCAAAATGTGCAGAATGTTTGGGCGGCATCATAAGGGTTGAAATAAATTAAAGTTTTTACGAAACTTTCACAAAAGCACAACATCGCTGCGCAAAACTACGCGCACTGATCAGATGCAGATATGGGACAAGACGAGAAGCTAACAGCGTTATACGCGGGTGGCTGATGCCACAGTCGCTGAGCCAATAGCGGCCAGGAGAGAGAACACAGTACTCTGGTTGGTCGTCTCTCATGCATCAGGAAATAGTATGCTGTGTAAAACTACGCGGGAAACTAACCCAAACAGAAACGGCAGTAGTTGCGGTTTCCATACGTGAGTGTCCTTTTCTACTCATTAGTTTGTCGCTACGTATTTTATTTCGATTTAATATTCTTTTAATAGGTTCTAATTAATGTTTTATTTT